GTCCAATTATTGCATCACATCTAAACGTAAGTGAAATGACTTTTTTTAGCATAGTTATGTCTCCTATATGTCATCCGTACGACCAGTTGCTAAGATAACCCAAGAAGCAACCGTAGAGATGAATCTTCTTTAACTTTGAATTGTTGACGACTAGTGTTGTGCTAACCTGGACAAGGCGCTTCAAGACCTTAGTTGTTAAAGCAGAGTAATACATTATAACAACAACATCAACTTGTCGGGTGGTCACTGAAGACGACCTGTAATCCGAACCCGTCCAGCTGCGCCAGACTTTGAGGAAATAATTTAACAAGAAATAAAAGAATCTTCAATACTTCTATCTGGACAAATGGATACTTCAGTGACACAAGAAATTACTCTATTTTCTACGCGTGATTTTTGTTAACTTTGTAACATTCATTTTTAGTTAGTCAGACCATTTCGCGTTGTTTTAAGACTAGGTCAGTGCACTGTAAAGTTTGATAACCGAACTGCCACGGTGTTCCAGGGTATTACCATAAATTTCACAAGGCAATTGTCTGTATATACACGCAGATGAAGCCACAAAGTAAGAAATGAAGGACTCGCCTGAACGATACACTCCAGCATCACTATGTTTACTGCCGTGACTGGTTCGTGTTCACCAAGCTACAATTATTCTTTTCTTTTTCCTGTGTTCTGTCTGTATCTTGATTGACCTCGTGTCTACCGTGAAAACGAACCGGGTCTTTTAAGTCTCACAGCTCCATCTGTGACCAAACTTTCCGGGTGGTTATCTGATCAACCAGACTCTTGCTGGCCCTAGACCTCTGACCCTCAACAGTCTATCAGTAATGTCGGTTCTAGAAAGTAGTTATTACTTCACGAAGATATTTTGTATTCTGTTTTTGCATCATTCGAGGTGTTAATATAAAATGTGCGTGAAAAATTACGCAGCTATTGATGAAAATTCTTTACCTAACACCTCATAATACCTTACCGGTAAACCACGAGCGTATTTTAGAAATTTATCTTAACTCTTAAATAACCTTTGTGTTGAAAAATCCACCCGACCATATTCCTTAAGAGGAAAACTAAAGTAGTATTAATCTGGCGGATTTCAAGATTCACATATTAACTCTTCCCCGCAGAAAAATACTAATATTGGTAAAAAAAAACATCTTTAAAGTTTCTTGAGGGGACCGAACTATACAAGGAGGTTTAAACAACAGACAATATCCTATCATGCGAAAAACTTAAGGTCAATAAGACGTGTCCTCATTGGGCGTCTACACCTACTGTAGAAGCTTCAGGAGTATAGGTTCGGAACTGGTCAACCCTCTCTCCCCCAAGGCACTGTTCTCTACGCTACAATTTGTACAAGATGCGCATCATTAAGCTGTCACACTTTATTTTGATACTTCTGGAAAATAAAAAAAATACCATCCTTGTGTCTCCAATTATGTACTAGTCACACTTGATTTGTCCACTCGTGCTGGGACGTGGTGAAGAGGTATGTGCGTGGCATACGGAATTTTGCACCAGGCCTGGAAGCTTCAAGACACAATTATATAATCTGATCCTGCTCATGATAATTTGATGTGTTTGCAACTGCACCTGGGAACATATTTCTGTCGTTATACAGGACCTGTCTGAAGAAGTGTGGTCTTTTGCGCGTTATGCAGGCTATGTAGTTGCATCCCCCCACCCCCCTCAAGTTCTTGTCGAACCCGTTTCTCGGTTAAGTCTCATAACCTGTGTTGTAACGTTTTTTGAGGAAATTGAACATGTGTATCATATCTCGTCTGCTCCTCCTCCCATGACTCCCAAAACACAGAGGGTTTCCAGCCTTAAAAATTTCTCACATTTTTAGTTTGTTTTCCTCCCGTTCTTCCTCCTTCGGGTGGCCCAAACTGAGTCAGCATGCAGTATAGTCATTGATTCTTATATATCATTAAGCAGTCTGAAATGTATAAACGTTTTCTTGACTACAGTGTCGCGACTCTATACGTAAAATTTATACGTTGAAAAAATCGTTGTCAAATCATTATGTTTCTAGATGCACGTTGTTCCCACCATCATCCACTGTGCGTAATAAAGACGACCAAACTAGAATGTTAACGTTTGACAATGTCTAAGCCGAGACACTATGTCCCGCTTGCAGTAGTGTATCGTTAATCCCCGCAGCTGACATCGTTGCCCGGATCCACAAGAATGAAAGGCATCTTGTCCCTTTTATTGTTGTTTTGAATGCAAGGACTCGGTGAAAACACAAGAAGACTATCACCCTTATCAGCATACGTCGCCACTTCACCACCACTTCACTACCACATCAACGACCACTACTTCACTAATACCACATCAACGACCACTACTTCACTAATACCACATCAACGACCACCACTTCACTAATACCACATCAACGACCACCACTTCACTAATACCACATCAACCACTTCATAAATTCAACTTCCCACCATTTTCCACTTCTCTCCCGGGTATTACCTTATACAGAATAGCAGCCTGTGACTTCCCTCTCTCTGGTTGCACTTCTTCCTTAATCACACGACAGGAATCGGAGGAATACTGGTTTGTTGACATCCGGCATACCTCCATAATGGCGAGAGCTATCCCGGCTGACATTGACGACAAGAAATAGGTGCAAGGGACCATAATTTTACGACGGCTGAGGCTTGGGACTGACAAATATATGATAAGGTCGTGATAAGACGACTAACTTCATTGATAACAACTAACCTATTGCCCCCCCCCACCCCACCCACCTGTTCTGGAATCTTCCATCACCTTACCACTGTTTGAGGCTATTTTACCTCTACTACTAGCTACGATATCTCCCTCTTCTAATAGCTACAGTTCCTACCTTTACTATTAGCTACAGTTCCTCCTCCTCCTACTACAAGCTACGGTATCTTCCTCTACTACTAGATAGTTCCTACCACTAGTACTTGCTACAGTACCTTCCTCTACTACTAGCAACGATACTTGCCTCTGCTACTAGCTTCGATACCTGCCTACTACTATTACTACGATACCTCCCTCTATTACTACAATACCTCCCTCTACTATTACTACGATATTTCCCTCTATTACTACCATACTTCCTTCTATTAGCTACTATACCTCAATATACTACTAGCTACAATACCCCTCTCTACTACTAGCTACGATACCCACCTCGGCGACTAGCTGTGGTACCTCCCGAATACTAAATGTGGTACCGTACCAAATCAAAAACTTATACCAAACAAAACCAACCAAGACGCTTATGCTACAGTGTACAGTACAAGTATGGTCTTCAATGGAGATAGTTCAATTCAATTTCAATTATTTATTCCTTGATAGAGGAAGCGGGATCCTAGTGCTGTCACTAGGTACCCCTGTACAATGACACCAGAAGCATCTGGCAAGTGTGACAAGTATATACAGTATAAATATTATAAAGGGGCTTCCTAAGCCTAAGGAAGGAAGGATATTCCTTTAACACATAATCAATGTTATTTACATAATATCTGGCCAGTATGGGGAGGATCATCGTGTCTCCGTCAGGGGGTCGAGGAGTGGTGGTCCAGCAGGCGTCACGGAAGCGTTGTGTGTGGGGACATCTTAGGAGGTAGTGGATAAGGGTGCTGCTGTCGGGTCTTCTGCATAATGCACAAGAATGGAGATAGTTTATTAACCCTTGTATACGTCTCTCTCTCTCTCTCTCTCTGCTGAATAAAATCCCCTGACGTTAGCCAAATATAGTGTTAAAAGTGGCGTCCAGTAGTGAAGTGGTCAAGCGTCTATAATAGGGTTTGTTATTAAGCTAATCACCAACAATTATAAAGTAATTTAATAATAAACTTCGGTGCAAGTTACCAGTCGTGTTGGACCACCTGAAGATTAAACACCCCAACGCTACCTGGGGTGGGGGGGGGTTAAAGTTAGGGTGGTTAATTTTTAGGTGAATTAAGCTAGGGGTTAATCTTCAGGTGATCCAAATTACAGAGAGATTAGTAAAGGTTAGGTTAGGTTAGTTTAGTTTACCTAATTTGGGGATACCTAGAGAGCCTTATCATCTTAATGTAACTTTCCCCACGCTATATATTATGCTAACATTTCTGTTTCAAAGAAGTGGTTACAGTTCCGTCACCACAACCTCTGGAACCAAGACACCGTCGACGCACGCCTGGCATCCTGGTATAATTTCGCGGTTGTAAAAAAAAAAATGAATGAACCTCGGGAATGTTACATGTGAAGTAAGCAGAGCCGAGGAGGGGGGGAGTAAAGTATCCACGGAGCCCTAAAGCAAGGGACTCCACAGACGGAGGAGTGTATACCCAGGAAGTAGGACTCGGTTGACGGAGTGTTAGTCTCATCACAGGATTCGGTCAACAGGGTGGTATAATCGGTCAGTGGACTGGTATACCGACGGACTGGTATAACCTAGATCTATAGCTCCGATAATGGAGTTGTAACTAATGTTTTAGCGCAGTGTTAATAACTTTTAGACGGTTAGGAAACAGAGGGTAACGCTCAGGTGTAGGAGAACATCACCTTAACCCCGCTATATCATGACCCGGAGTATGTCATTGTGAACCTGTTTAGTGGCTCACACAAAATATTGTGGCGGACGTGAACTTATAGTACATAATTTACTGCCATCATCACCTCGAATTCATTACTCATTACTCCTTTTGTTATTATTTGATGCTAGAGAGTTAAAAGGCCAGTTGGGGGAACAACTGTTAAAATTAAAGCAATTGAAGATTTATCGTTACTCCATGCAGATGACCTGGTAACCTGACGTGACGTGTAAGGGGGAAGACCCACTTGTGACCCGTCAATCCAGGGTTAAGGTTGGCTTAACAGAATATTCCAGTATATCGAAATTACTCCGGCTTGGAATAAATCTGGACAAAAGGTCAGCAAATTGGACGATATAACTAGAGAATACTGACGTCTGTCTCTACTGGGGGGCTCCCTAGGGTTAGGAAAGTGAAGGTTGGGTACACAGTACTTACCATACGGAGGCGGCGGTGGTGAAGTAGTAGAGGAGGAGAAAGACGAGGGCACAAGTAGTGTGCAGGGCGCCCTCCGTCACGGCCACCACGCCCAGCTCGGGGTCTACATGGCAGGTAACACGACCAGGACCTGCCACCAGGCGCACCAGGTAGCCAACCGCCACCAGGTTGTAGCACAGCGCCAGGTGCACCGCCGCCCGCTCCGGGTACCTGAAGGCGGCTGCGTCTAACAAGAAAGACAGCACTGTGAAGAGGGTGACGGCGAAGCACACCACTGCCCAGATGGCCATCCACACCCCCGCGAACGACTTGTCGCTGCTATTGAAGGAGATGTTGGCCTGACAGAGCGGCGCGCACGTGCCAGTAGCGTTGATGTAGCGGTACTTGTGGGCGTGGGCGTAGTGGCTACACCTTCGGAGCGGCTGAGGGCGTGGGGAGGTTGTGGGTGGGGCATGGGGCGGCATCTTCTCCCCGGGGCCTTCCATACACATGTGGTCCTCGTTGTTTTCTGGTGGGAACCTGGAGCAGTTGAGGAAGGGCGGCCAGGGGTAGCCCAGCTCCGCCATCACGGGGGCGCACCTGTTCCTTACTGTCTCACACAGGTCCCTGCACGGGCCGATGGGCGTGGGTACCTGAGGCGTGCACATGGGCGTGTATATGGAGCACAGGAAGAACTGGAGTTGAGAGGAACAGCCATACTGAATGAGCGGCTTGAAGGAATTGAGGCGCGACTCTGCGTCCTTCTGCAGCTCTGTACCCACCAGGTTGGGCATGGAGGTCAGGTTGTACCCGACGTCGCGGCAGGCGGCCAGGCGGATGGTCTCACAGCGCCGCGGTCCTCCTGGGTGATCCTGTGACATCACCACGGGGTAGTCCGCCCACGCCCCCGATACAGCACAGGCCGCCCACACGCCCACAACCACCCATACCAGGGCGTTGGTGGGCCCCGCCATGATGGAGCCGCTGTTATCTGAGCATCTGAAGGAGGCCCACCGCGGCTCACTCCTGCTGCCCCACCACCACTAACATTACCTCTTCTGCCCACTCTAGCACTCCCCAGCACGGCTAACACCTCCTAACACTGTCACTGACACATTTCACTTCGGGGTTCACGTTTCAACTTCTGATAAAGGCACTCAACATGGCACAAACCCCGATCATGAGAGCAAATGAGAAGAGTGCGGTGCGTAGGGACATACAGCTTCCCTCTCCGGCAGCCAGTTGGCAAATACAATGAATGTAGTGTTGGCAGCGTTGAGAGACGCGACGCCCCGCCCCTCTCGCGCCACACAGCCTTATGATTGGTCGCGCTGCCGCTTCCCAACACCTCATCATCTGGGATTTGTTTTTTTGCATTGTGATTTTTCCCTAAGTATATTTGAGTGGCGCATAGGAATATTAACGTTGCTTATTTAAATCTTGTAAATTATAGAGGTCTATAAAATTCATAGAACATAAAATCAAAGCGATAACTCTTGACAAAGGAAATATTGATAATGAAGTCAAAGACAAAGGTGATAGTTTCGGACAAGTGTAGAGGCCAGTTAAGTGAGCGTGCTATGCAAACTTGGCATTCTCAGTCGTGCAAATTTCGCATAATGAGCGCGAGTGGACGCTGCATCACAATGTAAATAAAAGTTCACTCAATCGCACTTTAACTGTCTCTAGCGCTTGGAAACTGCATTCCGGTGTCAAGTCTTCTAAAATGCAGTTCTGATTATGCCCTGCTCCTCGTCGTAAAGGTGTTGCTATCAGTGAGTAAATATTTACTTGAGATATAAGATGAATTATTGCGCCGTTTTACCACTCAAATCATAATTTATTACTACAATTAAAGCTAAGAACGTTTTATGTGGATGAATAACACATGGGGAAGTCTCAGCAAGAAGTGCTCACTCTTAACCTTTCTTTAACCCGAGTATATACACTTGTCCGCTAATTGCTGGCAGCCAAACCAGTATTCTAAATAGCTTAATCAAATATTTGCATTTGTTATACTTGTTGATACACCAACATCTTTTTGTTACGTGTAAGAAACATTTTAACTGTTTGACGACAATAAGAAGAGTACTGTATCTTTATGTTGCTGTAATACACGCCGCCTCAAGTCTTCTTTAATTTTAGACTTCACTCGCCTTAATCTTTAAATAATTCATATGAACAAGAAAACTGTTGTCATCAAATAAGTTTTTTATGGACAATAAAGTTAGAATTTCTTGTTGGAGTTTTCACGGGGGATTCATTATGATATCTAAAGACAAACGCAGGAAAAAAAATATCTGCCTTTGGATCAAATATATGAAATCATTATGGTCGTGGCGTGTGAACCCAAGTAAACTTTATTAATAAAAGAAATTTCTAATATAACAGGTGCTTTCAATTATGGAATTAAATTTAAGGGCCCCACACCGTGTCGGAAACAACAGAACCACTCGGTAATTGTCGAACAAGGTCGTTATGTTAGCAGTTATCCCTAGCGAAGACAAGGGTATGAATAACGAACTTACTTTGAATAATCTCTAATGTGAAAACATATCATTAATAATTCCTCATACTGAACACTCATCCTATATATAAATAACATCAAAAACTCTCAATTTATTAAAGCTCAAGTAAATTAGTTTTCCACCTTGAGCCGAAATGTTGACAAGGCTGCCAACCTTCTGTGTGTCGTGAGAAGTAAAATTTTCGTGCTTTGAATTTACTTTGGTAAGAAAATGATGTTTGAACGTTTATCTATTGCAGTAAGAATGTGTGTGTGTGTGTGTGACCGACCGACTGTGTCAGTGTCCCGCCAACAAGACCAAATTTTAAGTTGAGAGACTGAATGGAGTGTATTATTTAATATGACTCTGACTATAAGACATTGGGACCAGAATGGAGATGAAATATCTGCTATAGTATTGCTGATATTACTTGAAGTAAACTGGGGGTTAATTATCGTATTCTCTTTCATCAAGTTACGTCGCACTGAAGAAAAACAACACATCGATGGACCGCATCATCATCTAATAAGTGAATTGTTTTGGTATATCAAGTCGTTTATGCCAAGCTAATTTATTAAATCAGTGTAATATAATGTCTTCAGGTAGCAACTCATACCACAACCTTTTAAGTTCCTACAGGGGCTACGACACTGTCTCTGTTTATTATGTCCACAACTATACATTATGGCAAGAGGAACAAATATTTTACCGTATAATTAAGCCAAAATATCATAGAACACATTACATTTCCCATTCATCTTTCTTCATAATGATCCATGAGATGAAAAAGTATTAAATCGTTCAAAATGAAAGTTGTGTTTAGTGATGTTCAGATGTGGTAAGTAATCTTTCAGGATGTGTGTGTGTGTGTGTGTGTGTGTGTGTGTGTGTGTGTGTGTGCGTGTGTGTGTGATCTCGTGTGGAGATTATTGTGTCAGACAAGAAAATAAGCATATTTTTTTTATTCAGAATAAAAAAAAAATAAATATAGGAGATTATCAATGTTCGGTACAGCTTGGTCAGGTACAGTCTACCATCAAGGAGTGAATGACGTCACAATCCTTTTAAAAAGTGAATGACGTCACACTCCCTTAAGAAGTGAATGACGTCACATTCCCTTACGAAGAGAATGACGTCACAATGCCCTTAAGAAGTGAATGATGTCCCACTCCCCTTAAGAGGTGAATGATGTCCCACTCCCCTTAAGAGGTGAATGATGTCCCACTCCCCTTAAGAGGTGAATGATGTCCCACTCCCCTTAAGAGGTGAATGATGTCCCACTCCCCTTAAGAGGTGAATGATGTCCCACTCCCCTTAAGAGGTGAATGATGTCCCACTCCCCTTAAGAGGGGAATGACGTCACTCGCTCCTCGTGTTTACACTCACGTTGCTCACCGGTGAAGTAAACAATTTACAGGTTGTTGCACTTTACCGCTGAAGGAGTTGACTAGTCGCTCTTCCCCGACATAAACAATTTACAACTTGATGCAAGCTCTAGCTCAAGGGCCAACCCCTTGCTCAAGGACTAGCTTCTCGCTCAAGGATCAGCCCCTCTTTCAAGGATCAGCCCCTCTCTCAAGGACCAGCCTCTCGATCAAGGACCAGCTCAAGGATCAGCCCCTCTCTCTCTCTCAAGGATCAGCCCCTCTCTCAAGGACCAGCCCCTCTCTCAAGGATCAGCCCCTCTCTCCAGCCCTCTCTCAAGGACCAGCCCCCTCTCTCTCTCAAGGACCAGCCCCTCTCTCAAGGATCAGCCCCTCTCTCACCTCTCTCAAGGAGCCCCTCTCTCAGCCCCTCTCTCAAGGATCAGCCCCTCTCTCAAGGGCCCTCTCTCTCTCAGCCCCTCTCTCAAGGACCAGCCCCTCTCTCAAGGATCAGCCCCTCTCTCAAGGACCAGCCCCTCTCTCAAGGATCAGCCCCTCTCTCAAGGACCAGCCCCTCTCTCAAGGATCAACCATGAGCGATTGAGGATTTTCTCAGCCTAATGGAAATTAATTTATATAGAGTAAAACTTATTGTGATATATTAAGGACGTCGTTTACGAATATAAGATGACCAAATTATTCCTCAGGTAAATATTCTGGATAAAGTTAATTATTTCCCAGGACACACAAGACACCAATCATTACAACACACCTCTAAGGGAAAGTTGAAGACTAATTTATTAAGTGATATCGTCAAGTTTCCCACCCCCTAAAAAAAAAACTCACGAACCACACAACCATTTTTTTTCACAGTTTAAGCGATAAATAGTGTCAATGAAAAATTCTCAGTCAATTAGACATTTTGGGAGGTCTGGCGTCATCAGCAGAGAACCATTCACTATTACTCTACACTATATTTACTAACGATATACATTATGAATACATTTAATTTAAGGATATTTGTTTACACATTATTCATAAATTATTGTAATTCATTTATTTCTCCGTACAAACATGCGGTTATAATAACATACGTCTTAATGACTGTTAGATTGTCTGGACGTGTGGCCGAAGGTAGCAGAAAAACCTTGCCTAAAAATATGAATATTTAATAATTTATAGAAAGTGACAAACTGATACATTTTGGTACCCAGGCAGCCTCAACCCCACCTTCCTTGACTGACTTGTTGATAAATAATCATTTTCCGAGGAATGTTTTATCGTACACTCTCTCTGTCAGAGTACCCTGGCTTATGTATCGGCCGTGACTTCCTCCTTTCCCTCTCACTATTTTCTTTACCTAATCAATATCCATTACATATAAATATACTGTAGATACTTGAAGCAATAGTATGGGAAAATATAGAAATGAGATAGGTGAAGACATAACCTATGTCCGTCCTTGACAAAATTAAGTGTACAAAAAAAAACGAATATACCAGATTTCAGCCCTGTTAAAAACTGTGATTACGTATAATAAAGAAAGATAAAATAAATGTGTTTTGAATGAGGCGGTTCCACCTTTGGGGTTGGAGGGCCGACCACTGGGGTTCCCCCCTTCTTGACACATCTGGGGTCACCGTCTGTATAAGTATATCCATGCCAAACTTCATCCTTTATCGTCTAAACTATAGACGTGAATAGCGAACAAACATACACATACACTATACTTTATATTATGATATTTGAGACTATTAGTTTTTATTTAAAAACTTGTCGTCAATTTTAATCATTGACCTCGGGATGATCTGGCAGTTTACTGAGTGATTTTTCACTAATAACTCTCCCCAAATAGCATAAAATCATATAATTTGTGATTTTCAAAACATCCTACGAGACGTGTGTGGAATTTAGGCGTGGAGTGAGGCTGAGTGGGGTCAACACTGTGGTATTAATACCCGCTGGGATTTATCAACACAGCTCCACTACTGAGAACTGGCCCCTTGTTTACACGCATGACCCTCGCAGGTTTGACTTAAACCAATAAGCAATCATCTGTAGCTTTGCTTTGTGTACCGATATGTTGGTATGGTGTATAGCTGGTCCTTGTAACCCAGACACTATTTACACTCTCAAGTATAAGCAGCCTCTATCAGAAGAAGAGGCGCCACATTCACTTGAATAGGCCATCATGGATTTTTCATCCAGAAAATACAGTACTACAAAAATATATTCACTATTTAAGATAACATGAATTAGCTTGGGTATTTTAGCTCTACATTGTTTTATCCCAGTCGACATGTTCCCCGTCTTCCCATCAGTGTATCGACAACTATGACACAACCAATGTACATCATGAGTAATAAACCCGTGAACGAGAAAGACCATAAATCAATACCT